TAAAACCATCAGTGTGTTATCAACATTCTTCTGGTACTAAATCCAAAACACAGCACTATGCTAGCTTCTATGAAGAAAATTAACTCTATCCCAGCCGAAACCAGGACACTACGGCTCACCCAGGAGGAGTCACTGGGGAGAAAGTGTCCGGGAGGCAAATGCTGTAGGAACTCTGCTAATTACTGAACACCGCAGGGTGCTCAGAAACGAAGGGGTGTGCTGGTGCCCAGGAGATTTCAGCGATGTGACGTACTGGGATGTTCTGCCTCAGTTTCCCTCTTTGCAACCGGAGCTCAGGCTGCCCCGGGGGGTTTTATATTGTCTGCGGGCACTGAATGCCAACGCGCCTTTTGTAGGCTTTGATGTTTGCTTCCTAGCAGCTGGCCCGAAGCGGGTGCGCTGTCTTTTTCCCTTACATGTCTTTATGAAAGCAAAATGATTTGGCGTGGCTTAGCAGGTGAGGGTTAAACCCCTTAGCGCGGGGGAAGCCCTGATGGAAATTATACGCCAGATCCCGCTGGGGGGGGGCTGAGGCTGCTTTTGGTTTTTTTTTTTTTTTAATGCCAGTAAGCAGCGCTGCAGCTAATCTGCGGGAAACGTTCCACGTAACCGTGTCAAATGGACAGACAAGGTATCGGTGACAAGTCGCAGCGCGCTGTCCCCGGCCCAGGCGTTCCTCAGCTTTGCCATTGAGAAGCGCCCGGCCGCGGTACAGTGTAATTATAGTTTTGTGGGTCTCTCCGGGCACGCACGGGGTCACGCGCAAGGCAATTTGCCTTTTTATAGCTTGTGGAAGCGTGGGTGATGCCATCAGTATTCGCGTCTCGTTTCTGGCTGCGGCGTCCCCGCGCCGGCCAGACAATCGGAAAATATCGGTGTAACACGAGGACAAGGCGCTGGATCTGACCTGCTGCTGGTCTCGCTTCTGGCTGCTTCACCCTTGAAAGAGGCTTGGTGGGTTTTTGGGTGACTTCTTGCTAATCTGTGGCAGCTGTTTTTCTGGAGAAATGTTTCTAATTAAGGCATGCCCAAAAATCTTCTGAAGGGAGCTGTGCTGACACCCCAGCCAAGTTATTTTAGTGCCCAAAAGATCACCACGCTCGTCCCACGTGAGAGGTTTTGTACTTTAACACGGTGAACCTTTTATGCGGGGTGCACCGCATGTGCTTTAGTACATCAGGTTAATGGCACTTCCTATCTTTAGCCGCTGTATTCCGATAGCGGGTTGACAGATCTCAACGCGCTCACCTATCTCACCGCAGTATTTAAGCTCAATTCGTTACCAGGCGCAGGGTGGTGGGGTTTATTCTTAGCTTGGGGCCACGCTCTCTACGGCCTGGGTTCCTTAGAACACTTCCACAGCGAGTTAACGAAGGCTCTGTTGGTGACTAGGCATGCACCACAAGGATGCATTAAGCTGACGTTTGTTTCCAAGCGAAATGCAGGTGGCATTTTCCATTCTAATTCCTGAAAAGTTTCCGAAGGTAGCGTGATTTTAGTACAAGGCTGCTACTCATGCCCTGGGAAACCCCACCCATTCGCCTTCTGGATTCTCAATTCAGAAATCTCGCCCTTCCCGCCTCCTGAGGTTCAACAAACTGGAGAACTGAGGACCAAACCTCCTTGTCTGGATTGCAAGAGGCAGAAAGAGGCTTCCATCCAAACTTCTCACCGTGGGAGCGCTCGCCTGCTGGGGGAAGCGGGGCCGTAGATGCTTTACGTGCTAATTTGGTTTGAGCATGAAGTGAGAAAGGCTGCGAAGCTGAGGCTGACACGAAACTGGTTTCATACCAGCACTTAAAAAAAAAAAATATCTGAAGTGCCCTTCACTCCTGCAAATCTCGCTCTCGCTGGGATGTTTGAACTGGGTTTCCAGGCCAGTGCCGTCACCGACGCCAGTGCTGTCACCGACACCAGAGCAGTGACACACGGAAGGAGCGTTGAGGCTGCACAGGCATGACATGGTGGATGCCATATGAAAAAGCAGCGGCTGTTGTTGTGTTTTGGGGTTTTTGTGTCTATTTCTACTACAGTAAAGGTGACTGAAGTATTAAAACAGGCCCTTGAAAAGAGAGATTTTAAATTGATTTTTACTGAATTTGAGAGATGACATTGCAAACAAGCCATTACATAAAGACTTAATATCTGCACAAGCACATAAGCCGAAGAGTCAGTTGTTTTCCAGATGCAGCTCTACTTGTTCCGTTATAAAAAAAAAAAAAAAAAGCCTTTTCAACTTATATTTAAGCCAGTGGCATACAAAAGAAGAAAATAAAAAAAGAAAATCCTGTCCATCACCGGGTTGTGAATAAGTTATCTTCATTTTTTCAATTATATACAAAAGATACTTTCCAAAGGACAGTGTGAGAAGAGTTTACACAAATAAACCCTCATTCTGACTTCCAAGAACTATTTACATCGTTCTGTACATGGCTCTTGCAGGTCTTCCGAGACCCTGAAAAGCAAGAAGGGGACGTGTGACTACCCAAGCGCGGGTTGTTCCCGGCAATCAGCCCCTCGCGTTTCACCCCCTCAGAAGCGGGGACCTATTTACCTATAGGCAATTTAAAAGCTTGTTCTGAATATCTTCAAAGACTTGATTGTAGAGTTCATCTCTAGACTTCAGGCCATCTAAATAAACTGAAAGACAAAGGTAGAGGGTTCAGGCTGTAGGTTTCTGATCAGAATAAAATTTTTGTAGATTAGTTTTAAAATATTTCATACTCTGGTGACTCAAACAACAATTTGTTTTCCAAACAGGAAAAAAAAGAACCATCCTGAAAAAAAAAAAAAAAACCTATGGCCTGCAAAATGTCTTGTCCCATTATAAAGGATGTAGTTTTTCTTACTTTTTTTTCTTTCCTCCTTATAATATGAAACAAAAGGAAGAAGTTCTTAACTATAAAACTGCATAAAAACTCTCTCTTACGAGGCCAGGCTGGGAGAGTTGGGGGTGTTCAGCCTGGAGAAGAGGAGGCTGCGGGCAGAGCTGAGTGCGGCCGGTCAGGGCTTAAAGGGGGCCCAGAGGAAAGGGGGGGACAAGCTTTTTAGGAGGGCCAGCTGGGACAGGACAAGGGGGGATGGCTTTAAACTAAACCAGGGTAGGTTTAGACTGGATCTAAGGAAGAAATTCTTTCCAGTGAGGGTGGTGAAACCCTGGCAGGGGTTGCCCAGAGAGGGGGTGGAGGCCCCATCCCTGGGACCATTCCAGGCCAGGTTGGCCGGGGCTGTGAGCAACCTGCTGTGGTTCAAGGTGTCCCTGCTCCTGCAGGGGGGTTGGGCTGGGTGACCTCTGGGGGTCCCTTCCAACCCAAAACATTCGATGATTCTATGGTATATTTATCTGGACAGAAAGTAGGCCACAATTACAACTTGTAGTAAAAATAGCGCCTTGCATCATTACAGTTAAAGTTTCCTTGAATTAAATTACTGACTTCCTTAAAATCCAAAGCACAATGCCAAAGGATTTGCATTTAGGAAGGCTTACCGACATCGACGCCGCCGTCCTCCATTTCTTTCCTGTGTTTTAAGTACATGGGCCAGACGTGTCCATCAAAGAGACCCGGGGGGTCAGGAACAGTGTAGTTGCGCGTGCTGCAAATACCAAAGCAGCAACAAACATCAGGACTACCGGGATCGCGCTGCCTCTCGCACACTGCTACAGCCTGAAGTTGATCTGAGAGCTGCTCAGCTGCATTTATGTGAACGCTGATTGTCACAGCCCAGTTTCTCATCGATATTGGTCTACGTTTTGCAATAAGTTTATTTAAGCACCCAAAGTGAACGCAGAAGCTGCAGGCAGCCGATGAAGGCAAAGCAAGCAGTCTCGGTGGGTTTGCTGATGCTCACGAGGGAAGCCTGCAACGACTCTGTTCCCTTTGCTGATCTTCCTCACCCCCGGTCCCCCCAAAGGGGACTGCCAGATCCAAAGTTTCAGAAAATGCCACGTGAAAGTCTCTTTCTCCAATTAAATTAAAATTTTAAACTGTGATCCCAGTTTGTAAGCGACACCAACGTGTCCCATTAATAGCAACAGAAAGGCAGCCCGAGGGCTTGCCTCGGGCGACTGAGTCTTTATGGGAAGGAAGGACTACACGTACGGCAGGGAATCTTCTTACCTTCTCCTCCTTTTGCATTCATCGTATGGGACCGCCAGGTAGTAGCGTATGTCAAACAGGTCTATCAGTGGTCTAGGGTAGGGTAGAAAGAAAGAATGTGTCTATTTTTTTTCCTGACAAAGTGTTAAATCACCCCTGAAAGCCATAAAAATCTTTCTGCCTCTCTCGTATTTATGTCTATGGTAGACAACAGAAGTGTAAGCGTTTAAGATGCAAGCTAACGTACGGTATGCACATTTCCCACCCCAATCCCTGCTACTACTCGTTGCTGAGGATCAGACTCTGGGCTGGGGAGACCTGGGGTGTGAACCCTGACTCTTTTTCGAAATTATTTCAAATTCTGCTTGCAGTAGGCCAAAGCTGCGATTCGTCATTCTGATACAAACTGACTTATCAAACCGTCTGGCCTGCTGTGCAGAAGCGAGCTGGCTGTCAAAACGCGCACGGGCACATGGATTTGGTACAAGGCCCATGTTCTTTTCCAGAAGTACAGGCAGTCAGCTCTACCACGGCTTAGTGCCTTGCACTCCTAGTAGGCTGAGGCAAACAAACCCAGAGGAATCCTTAAAGCAAATTTAGTTTGAACCTGGTGGGACTGAGACTTCCAAAAGCCTGCTGAGGTTTGCATAAATGCTTAATATAGCATGATCTGAGCAAGCTCCAGGTCCGTGGATGAAATACTCCCTCTGGACTAAGGAAAGGCTCCCATTAACAAGACGTGGCGCTTCAGAGGTATTTGTAACCTTCAGGAGAGATATCAAGAGTTACCTCCCCGGGGACAGGCCAAGAACACCAGGCAGTTTGCCAGCGCAGTCTCCAGTTGGCCATTCTTGGTATGGATAGTCCGAGACTGCCATTTTACATTTTCCATTCAGTTTGGAAAGCTGGAGTGGTGCTGCTTGTCTTATGGTACAGCTTATAAACATCTCCAGTTTTGCGAAGCGTCACGCACAGCTCATTCTCTTTCAAGAGTTTTGTAAACAAAACGCTAGTTTGGAGCCAAGAATCTCGCTCATCACGTTTATAGCACGCGATTTTCTGAAGTTTATATATTTAGCTAGTGGAATTTTTCTCTCTCTTCGCTGCTACTCCTATCTCCCCATCTTCCTGCCAAGCATTTTTCCCCCCATATAAAAAAAAGCAAAAGAAGTTGATCTTTGCTCCAATGTACCATTAATTACCAAGCTCAATTTAGTCAGTGTTAAACAAGCATGTCTATCACATGAGAGAACTATTCCTAAATTCCAGGAGAGATTCCAAGTAGTGAGTGCAGAACAGATTATCATCTCGTTCTCATCGACGAGCTTTTCAGGTCAAGGTTTAGGCACCGTGGGGGGTGGCTGGGGGGAAGCCTCTGCCTTTGCGGCTGGCTCAGTATCTACGAGTTCTGGTCTAAAGCTCAAGAGTTCAAGGGTGTGCCCTAACCGAGACCTTCCTACGTTACCTTCAGAAAGGCACCTTGTGCACTGCACTTTTGCCCGCACTTACTGGTAAATTTTATATTTAAATAAGAATTCTTACGCGTGATACCTCAGAACAAGGCAGGAAGGGTATATTAGTAAAAAGGAGGTTTTAGCCCTGGCACTAGTGATCTAGTGCTCTTCCCTGGCAAACCGTTAATAGTTCCCCAAACCTTACTTGTAATTATAAAGCAGGAAGCCTTCAATGACCAATATATGGATATCTTTGGAGGCTGGCTCTTTAGAGCCAGGCGTAACATTCACCCCATGGGAACGGGCAAACTTCACTGGGTTCTCAATCCATGCACGCACAGTGCTCACCATTGCCTCCATATCCAAGGAGTCCAACACTAGTTAGAAGAAAGGGGGTGGGTGGGAAAAAGGTATACAATCAAATACCACAAACCACATTGGTTTGAAAGTATAATATAGAATGAACTTGTAAAATGGAAATTACAAAAATTTACTATTAAATCTTTAATAATTAAAAAGAAATACTTAGGAAAAATATACATTACTGCATCCTATAGCGAACACTGCTCTTACCATCCCATTGTTTAAAGCCGTCTTCCCCGACTTCTATTTGATCTTGTGGCTGAAATATAGTGAGCAATAAAACATTGCTGCAAACTCAGCGTGATCAGTTACCTAAGATCCGATCACAACCTGGACACTACTGCAATACACAACAAAGCAAGTGTTCACTTAACAAAACAGTTACAGACCCTAAAATTTAAGTTCCCGTCTTTCACCAACCCCAAGAAGATTGAAAAGTTTTCTTGGCTCAGTCAAGCCACTTTGGCCAGAGTTCTAGGTTAATAATTCGATACGGTGTTATTAGCCAAAATGCTACAGGCCCCTGTTTATACGTCAACATATGAGAACTTAAAATGCAAACACAGCGTTAAATAACTGCTAAAATGTACCTGTTCAATAATAGCTATTTTAACTCCTAACAGCTCTAACAAAAACACAGGTCAGCAGAGCGTGACTTTGGATCGCTTAGTGATAGCTTTATTTGCACTAGCATTTGTGAGCTGAACACACTAGTGAGAAGTTACAGATCTTCGTGGAAAATTCCTCCTCTACTTTAAGGGCTCATATCTGCCCAAATTTGTGCATGAGGCTTCAGGCAAAGAAGCACTTCCAAACGAGCATCTCATTCTGTTGCATACGGCACACGCGGCGTGTCGGGGAACGCCATGCAGCTACGGCAAGCGCGTTGCCACATCTCTTGGACTTCCACACCCGGTGGGTGTGCAGCTAGCTGGTAAATATAACTGTGAAACGGCCACAGCCTGCAGGGTTTAGTAACGTGGTTCTGATGCGCAGAAGGCACCCACGTCAGAACAAGTCTTCTGTGTTCACCTTTAGCAATCTGTGAACTGGGTTCCTGACAGGGAGCTGTCAGAGCTCCCCGACACAACCATCCTTCTGCATTTCAAGCGCTCGAGGGGTGCTTAAATCCCAGTATTGTTTACAAGCAACATTCTCGTTTAAATAAAATAAGGAGGAAAACCCGACATGGAGAAAATTATCTGCGCAGAGTACAGTAAACCACCTCTAAGCTAAATCTAGACCTAAAGTTAGACCTGTTGTTAAAACTAAAGGAAGCTTTTGCTGCAACTGCTCTGTGCTCAGCTGTGCCAAGCTCTGCTTCTGCAGGAACTGGCAGACACCGACATTTGTAAGGGTCAGTACCACCTCAAAGGAGTTTAAAAAAAAATATATATACATATAATAAATAAATAAATAAGAAAACGTGTTCCTATGCTGTCAAAACTTACTTGGAAAGTGTGCACAAGCATATAAAACTTATAGGGGGGCCTATACAGCTATCACTACACATACAAGCAGCAGTTGATATTTTAAGCGAGGCGGGGGGG